GGAATGCGATTCCGCAAGCTTTCTTTATGAACTTGATAAGGAGCATGAGAACGAGATGCATGTGTCTTGGACGCGCGAGGAGGGTACACAAGATATTGAAAATGACCGAGTGCTTCATGTTTGAAATTTTCATTTTGAAAGGTTGGTCTATACATCTGATGTTTGCTAGTGGTGTTTGAGCTTTTTGTCTGTATGTTACGATGTGTCACGTTTGTCAACACATTAAACATTATGATGACACTCTTACTTCTATCATTTCTGAGAAACCTTTCTGTACATGTGCTATATATCATTTGACCCTTTATTAATGACGCCTTGTATATATATTTATTGATAATCTGTCTTCGTCATTATGGGAAATGGTTCTATAAAGGTTCCCCTGTTGAATCTGTTTCTTTTATCGATATTTAGGATTAGTTTTCACGCCCAAGCTTGTCTAGAGTAAAGCTCAGGCATGTCTTGCATCCCAGGCCTGTAAAGTTATTATGTCTTTAAATGGTTTTTCAGAGAAAAATTGGCAGCATAGCATGTACTGATTTACTTTGTTATGGCTCTGAAATTTGGGGAGCATGTTATTCCAAAATAATAGAGGCTGTGCAAATTAAATTTTGTAAACAATACTTTTGTGAACAGAACTACATGAAATGGTATGGTTCTTGGCGAGTGTGGCAGACTTCCATTACAGCATTTGTACATGTCAAGAGTGATTAAATTCTAGTTTAGACTTATACATATGCCACAAAATAGACTCCATCATCAGTATTATTTAATGTTAAGATCTATAGATAGCTGAGCCTATAATACCTGGGTAACAAAAGTTAGACACATACTGTTTCAATATGGATTTGGTTATGCTTGGCTAAGCCAAGAAATTGGAAATGTGGAGTACATTGTGTATCTATTCAAGCTAAGGCCAGGAGATAACTTAAAACAATCTTGGTTTTCATCAGTCAGTGAATCTCCCATATGCATATTTTATTAGGAGTTTAAAACTTTGTTAAATGTTGAAAGCTATTAACCGCTGCACATCGTCTATGCATGGAGTGCACCTATCGATTGATGAAGGCCATTGGCACCTTGAACCACACTCTGAGAAAGGCCAGACGCAATAAATCGGCTGTGTTCGACCTTGGTATGACATTATTCAATCTCCTCTGAATTTCATCCCAAAGATGTTCAATTGGGTTTAAATCAAGACTAAAGGCTGGCCACTGCATAATGTCGACACCGTTCTGTTGTAGGAAGTCCCGTGTAGCTCTGGCAGTATGGGCCCGAGCGTTATCAAGCTGGAAAATATTTTTCCGGTGACGTGCGAAATGTGGTATGACGTGGGGTCTGAGAGCTTGGTCGATGTAGCGCACCGCTGTGATGCCGCCTCCTCTCCCCGGACCAAGGTTCTGGAACACCACAGGACCCACTCTCTGGTTCAGGCATATTCCACCCCATACCATGATGCTTGCACCTCCCCATGAGTCTCTTTCAATAACACATTGGTCTGAGTAACGCTGGCCACATCGTCGCCATATTCTTGTTCTGCCATCTGCAGTTGATACGCAATACCGACTCTCATCTGTGAACAGAACAGTTCTCCATTGCCTGTATCGCCAGTTTTGATGTTGTAGGGCAAACTGTAGACGTTCACGCCGATGACGAGGGGTGAGGATAGGTCCACGCTAAGGTCTACGGCAATGGAGGTTCCCGCTATTAAGACGTCGGCGTACTGTATCAGCACTGATTGGTCTTCCGTGTGTTCCCATTGTCTGGCGTGCTGCTTCGGATGCCTGCATGAAGGGATTCTGTACATGCTGTCGCACAACATGGTGGTCTTGTCGTCTTGTGGTCACCCTTGGTCTGCCAATACGAGGGCAATCATTTGTGGTGTTGGTGGCCCAGAAACGTTGCTGCAGCCTGTAGATGGTCCGAACGTTGACCTGGAAATGATTGGCAACGGCTTGTGCAGTGTAGCCAGCTTCACGTCTTCCTAGCGCCTGGTTCCTCTGAGCTGTCGTGAGTAGCGGCATCCTGGTGACATTGTAATGTGAATGTTTCAACCAGGTTTGGGGGTGCATTCTATAGGGCTGGCCCTTGTGAACAGCACGTGCAGCATGAGTTGCATGAAAAACATGGAGAACACCGTACCATCACCGAGATCAGGTTGCGTTTTTGAGACCATTTCCTGGGTTCCATTCTGAGTTTGGGAAGGAATGTCTTTGCTCAGGTAAAGTTGTTGTCAAAAATATACAATCAAAACATTAAATGAGTTTACAGTTATCCGTTTCTGCGAAGGAAACGTCCAAACTGACGTTTCTTTTGATGCTTAGTATATAACAAAGTTCACAAAAGAACCATACACCTATTATTCATTTGTAAGTTTTTTGCAAAACACAAATGATGATGTTACATACAATGTTGGCCTGTACTTATATCATGTCCAGAAATTGATTAATTCCAGGATGTAGAGCTGCAAAAGCCCACCTGCACACTCCCATTTAATACAATGTCATTTGCCTGTATCATGGGCCGAACGCCTCATTACTCAATTAAAAAACTGTCTGTCTGTCTAATTATAAACTCCCTCTTAAAATGTGTAAAACTTAACTGAGTGTCAGACACCTCGTATCTATATACACACTGAGATTATAGTTTATGTTTTAGAAACTCAGAAAAAAAGAAACAACCTTGACAAGTCCACTATCGATCATGTTTCAAATTGGGTTGTAGTGAGATCGAACATTGAATGATGTCTAAGGGCTATTCGAGCTTTGTCCTTCCATGGCATGGTGGGTGTTAGTTATAAATATACAGCATTTCAAAATCTATATAAAAGCTATTCAGAGATAAATCTTTTATGTTAACGTAAGGCGGTGAAGTTCATTCTTAGTTACATAAGATCAAAGATTTTGACATCCAGTGTTGTGAATGACGCGCGTTGATTTGGGATCTGGATGTTTATTGACCAGGAATCACTTTTGATGTTCGTGTATTTTGTTGGGAAAGCGATAGAAAACGTATGACATTCTTTGATGGACATACTGGTCTTACCAGGGGCATACCGGGTGCATCTACACACACAAGCGTTTGTGTGTCACAGTTACATCTACCCACACAAGCCTATGTGTGTCACCAGTTACGTCTACACACAAGCCTATGTGTGTCACCAGTTACATCCACACAAAAGCCTTTCTGTGTCACAGTTACATGTACACACAAGCCTATGTGTGTCACAGTTACATCCACACACAAACCTATGTGTGTCACAGTTACATGTACACACAAGCCTATGTGTGTCACAGTTACATCCACACACAAACCTATGTGTGTCACAGTTACATGTACACACACTCCTATGTGTGTCACAGTTACATCCACACACAAGCCTATGTGTGTCACAGTTACATGTACACACACTCCTATGTGTATTTTGTTGGGAAACAGTTACATCCACACACAAGCATCTACACCTATGTGTGTCACAGTTACATGTACACACAAGCCTATGTGTGTCACAGTTACATCCACACACAAGCCTATGTATGTCACAGTTACATCCACACACAAGCCTATGTGTGTCACAGTTACATCCACACGCAAACCTATGTGTGTCACAGTTACATGTACACACAAGCCTATGTGTGTCACAGTTACATCCACACACAAACATATGTGTGTCACAGTTACATGTACACACACTCCTATGTGTGTCACAGTTACATCCACACACACTCCTATGTGTGTCACAGTTACATCCACACACAAGCGCGTTGATTTGGGATCTGGATGTTTATTGACCAGGAATCACTTTTGATGTTCGTGTATTTTGTTGGGAAAGCGATAGAAAACGTATGACATTCTTTGATGGACATACTGGTCTTACCAGGGGCATACCGGGTGCATCTACACACACAAGCGTTTGTGTGTCACAGTTACATCTACCCACACAAGCCTATGTGTGTCACCAGTTACGTCTACACACAAGCCTATGTGTGTCACCAGTTGTATCTACACACAAGCCTATGTGTGTCACAGTTACATCTACACACAAGCCTATGTGTGTCACAGTTACATCTACACACAAGCCTATGTGTGTCACCAGTTACATCCACACAAAAGCCTTTCTGTGTCACAGTTACATGTACACACAAGCCTATGTGTGTCACAGTTACATCCACACACAAACCTATGTGTGTCACAGTTACATGTACACACAAGCCTATGTGTGTCACAGTTACATCCACACACAAACCTATGTGTGTCACAGTTACATGTACACACACGCCTATGTGTGTCACAGTTACATCCACACACAAGCCTATGTGTGGCACAGTTACATGTACACACACTCCTATGTGTTAACAGTTACATCCACACACAAGCCTATGTGTGTCACAGTTACATGTACACACAAGCCTATGTGTGTCACAGTTACATCCACACACAAGCCTATGTGTGTCACAGTTACATGTACACACAAGCCTATGTGTGTCACAGTTACATCCACACACAAACCTATGTGTGTCACAGTTACATGTACACACAAGCCTATGTGTGTCACAGTTACATCCACACACAAACCTATGTGTGTCACAGTTACATGTACACACACTCCTATGTGTGTCACAGTTACATCCACACACACTCCTATGTGTGTCACAGTTACATCCACACACAAGCCTATGTGTGTCACAGTTACATGTACACACAAGCCTATGTTTGTCACAGTTACATCCACACACAAACCTATGTGTGTCACAGTTACATGTACACACACAAACCTATGTGTGTCACAGTTACATGTACACACACTCCTATGTGTGTCACAGTTACATGTACACACAAGCCTATGTGTGTCACAGTTACATCCACACACAAACCTATGTGTGTCACAGTTACATGTACACACAAGCCTATGTGTCACAGTTACATCCACACACAAACCTATGTGTGTCACAGTTACATGTACACACAAGCCTATGTGTGTCACAGTTACATCCACACACAAACCTATGTGTGTCACAGTTACATGTACACACACAAACCTATGTGTGTCACAGTTACATGTACACACACTCCTATGTGTGTCACAGTTACATCCACACACAAGCCCATGTGTGTCACCAGTTGTATCTACACACAAGACCTATGTGTGTCACCAGTTGTATCTACACACTCAAGCGTTTGTGTATCACCAGTTACATCTACGCTGGTAATGATCAGCACCCTTCAAAGGACCACGATCAGAGTCGCCGACATCAAACCACGTGAGTGTCTGCAAGAAGCAGTTATTAAAATATGTTTCAAAAGATCTGCAGACGATGTCTTTAGCATCCACACACACCTGGGCGCACTCTGCAGGAGTCTTAGAATAAATGGCCCTGGCGTTATTTCCTTTGATTGCCATGTCCGTGTACACGGTGAAATTAGATCCAACAGATGTGCAATCTGTAACAAAACCAAATATGTCCGTGAGCAGTGATGGTGGAATTAATGGATATGTTCAAATGTTTTTCTTTGGACCAAGGAGGGCACGGGTGGTCATCTATTGCGTAGCAGTAATACTTGGGCGCCTAGAAACATATAGCGGTGGGTTCGAACCCAAGATCGTCGCCAACAGTGTTAACAGCAGACACCTGGCAAGGTAAAGCAGCTAAAGTAAGCAACCTTCATATAGGTGTACTATCGATGGTGGTCTTTACATCCAACAACAGCTGGGCGATGAATACAGAAGCAGTGAATTGAGATTGGAGGAAGAGGGTTTCAGCTACCAGTAACACGACATATGGTTCAGACTGATCGTTGCAATTTCTCTCAGGAGTGAGTGAGTGAATATGGTTTTACGCCGCTTTTAGCAATATTCCAGCAATACCACGGCGGGGGACACTGGAAATGGATATAGTTATACACCTTCCCACACACGCAGTGGTAAAACAGCTTCACACATTGTACCCATGCGGGGAATCGAACCCGGGTCTTCGGCGTGACGAGCGGACGCTTTAACCACTAGGCTACCCCACCGCCCCAATTTATGTCAGGAACTGAATTATTACGATCTGCGGTTGTATTCTACGTATTATGATGATTCTCATTTGGAAAGTCAAGGTATTATGTGTATGTGACGCATGTGTGCATTCCTTGTGTCTTGTGGAGCTAGTGGTTAAAGCGTTCGCTCGTTACGCTGAAGACCGGGGTCCGATTCCCCACATTGGTACAATGTGTGAAGGCCATTTCTTCTGTCCCCTAAAAATGGCGTAAAACCATACTCACTCACTCACTTGAGTTATGTGAACATGAGCGCATGAACGAATGAACGCATACACGCATGCGCACAGCCACAGCGCACACACAAACCCCAAGTCACAATAACACTCTGACATTCAATGGCTTACATACTGACGAGATGTACTGCACATCCTAAGTCTAAATTGTATGAAGACTCTTGGTGTCACCAGATGATTTACCTGTCAATTTTCTGCAAGTAACGCTGGTCTCATCCATGTCGTATCCGATGGAACATATACAGACACCACCAGAGCAAGTCCTACCAGGAGGAACAGCACAGTCGATATCCGTGACACATGTACCGTTATCTGCAAACACAGAAATGAGTGAGTTTAGTTTTACGTAATATTCCATGAAATATCACGGCGGGGACACCAGAAATGGGCTTCGCTTCACACATCGTACCCATGTAGGGAATCCAACCCGGGTCGGACGAGACGTGCCATTTTAACCGCTTGGCTACCCCACCGCCCCAAGGCTCTTGGAACTAAAAGTCTACATTTCATTTTCACATTTTCAGAGTATCTTTCAGTTTCTGCTATTGTAAACATTTCTTTGCACGGCGTGGTAAAAGTGTCATAACGAACAAGGGGCGGTTGGGTAGCCTAGAGGATAAAGCGTTGGCTCGTCACGCCGAAGACCCGGGTACGAATCCCCACATGGGTACAATGTGTTAAGCCCATTCTGGTGTCCCCTGTCGTGATGTTGCTGGAATATTGCTAAAAGCAGCGTAAAACCGAACTCAGTCAGTCAGTCATAACGAACAGAATCCGTTGGACATTTTTACTGACTAGACCACTAAAAATATAATCAACGTCTTGATAATATGTTAGCGTAATTTCTGATTTCGTCAGTTAGATTTGAATCAAGGCACTGCTTTCATTTTGTACGTCACAGTGCCGCCGACGCATACATACATGGCGTGGATGTCGTGCTCGCCGTTGTGGTAGTTGATGGTGCTGGAGAAGCTGATGTAGTCGGTTCAGGAGATGTTGCAGACTCCAGTGAAGTTGTTGTAGTTGAAATATGAGTTGTTGTTACAGGGCTTGTCAGTTCCGGCTCGTTTGTATTTGGCAGTGGTGTAGTTACAACTGTAGTAGTAGTGGTAGTTGTAGTCTCTTCAAGTGTAGTGGGGGATGCGGTAGATGTCGTTGCAGAGGCTGCTTGAGGGGATGTTGTTGCCACAGTCGCTGTTGTTGTTGCAGAATTTGTCATCCCTGCTTCAGTAGTGGGCATGAACGCACCAACACGTACACATACATGGTCTTTAGCTGTGTTGACGGGGATGCACATGTGATCGGTACTGCATGGCTGACTGGCACATGGATGACCCTACAAAAACCATATGTAATTACGTAATATTAGGTCTGTGTGCATGGATCATCAACGTTTGATAACATACAGTGAGTGAGTGAGTTTAGTTTTACGCCGCTTTTAGCAACATTCATGCAACATCACGGCGGGGACACCAGACATGGGCTTCACACATTTTACCCATGTGAGGAATCGAACCCGGGTCTTTGGCGTAACGAGCGAACGCTTTACCCACTAGGCTACCCCACCGCCCTATAACATACAGTGGAAGAACATGGTGGATTCCCTTTTGTGGAATTGGAAAGAACAACTGAAGCTTAAAATATTGAGGCGTGTCCTTGCTTTCCCTTCCGATTGTCTGTGGTTTTCTCATTGAGAGGGGCGGTTGGGTAGCCTAGTGGTTAAAGCGTTGACTCGTCACGCCGAAGACCCGGGTTTGATTCCCCACATGGGTACAATGTGTGAAGCCCATTTCTGGTGTCCCCTGCCCTGATGTTGCTGGAATATTGCTAAAAGCGGCGTAAAACCAAACTCAGTCAGTCAGTCATTGAGTAAAGTTCTGAGTACTGTCACGATGATAATGGGTGGGTGTTACGACGCAACAACACTATACAGTTGTCTTGGATACAGTCCCTTGAAAAAATATTTGTCTTTATCAACCAACACTTGTCGTAACGAGGCGAATAACGGGATTGCGTGGTTAGACTGCATGACATGGTAGGTGCGTATCCCCGTGGAGAAAATCCCTGCACATGATCTGTACAAGACGCGATACTTACAAAGCGCTATCTTGTAGAGGGAAGGTTACAGAGTGCAGCGTTACGCAACATTGAAACTGACAAACAAAGAGTTTTAAGGTGAGAATTTGTCCAGGGCCCGTTTCACAAAGCGATCGTAGCGCTACGACTGTTTTAAGTCTATGTTAAAGTATGGGAGTTACGACCACCTTAGCGCTACGGTCGCTTTGCGAAATGGGGCCCCCTAGGAAAAGTCCCCAACCCGGATCTTCTGTGCAATTACCCGGGACAAAGCCGATGCCGATACCATGACGCTCAGAAGCAGTAGATATTTTAAATACCGACAATACCTAAAGTAAGGTCATTTTTATTTCCATTCCAATAGTATGTTTCTGTTCGTTTACGACATACAGAAATCGGTTATGGCACTTCATATGCTCTCCTCGCTCGCGTATAAGAAATATCTATATGCTGAATAGCTGATTGAACATGTATGAAAGTTTGTCAGACGTTTACAAGTCGCACGTTTACGGGATTTTGACAAACGCAATCAATCACCACGGTATCCTAGTACCCAAGAATCGCACGTACGCACGTACGTACGTACACACACACACACACACACACACCAAATAAACACACAACAAAAACACAAACACACACACGCTGTATTTTATCAAAAGTTACATGGTCTATTAAAAAAGGTTCATGCGCCATTTTCATGTAAAAGTATTGTTGTTTGTTTGTTATGTGTTTGTTGTTTAACGCCGCACTCAGCAATGTTCCCTGTAAATAATCGAGTCAGTACCAGACAATCCAGTGATTAACAACATGCGCATCGATCTACGCAACTGAGATACGATGACATGCGTCAACCAAGTCAACGAGCCTAACCACCCGATCCCGTTAGACGCCAATTCCTCATAGACAGACACAAGCTGGAACGTCATTGGTTCAGTCGTTTTACTCCACAAAGCAGCGAGTCCGCTGTAGCAGTCCATACAAGTTAGTGGCAGAGTCACATTACATTTCAGCGGGTGTGACTAACTATAGTAGCCCTATTCTTTCCTAAAATTGTCCACAAACATACAGATGCAGATGAAATGATCAGGTGAGAAAATATAAAACGTCATTGCAAACCAATACGCGGTCTTGACTATCCTCAGATTGACTGATTGTTGTTTAACGCCGCACTCAGCATTATCCCTGCTATATGGCGGCGGTCCGTAGATAATCCAGTCTGGACCAGACAATCCAGTGATCAACAGCATGAGCATCGATCTACGCAATTGGGATACGATGACATGTGTCAACCAAGTCAGCGAGCCTGACCACCAGATCCCGTTAGTTGCCTCTTACGGCAAACATCTACCAGTACCATCGGAAGGAGGCTACGCGCTGCTAGTCAGTGGGAACGTCGCCCAAACAAAGACGTCCCTTCCTCATAGAAAGACACAAGCTGAGCGTGGGTTCATTGGTCTGATGAAAGTAGCTATCTTTAACACGTTACCGTTGACCGTTGTGGAGACATCACCAGGAAATGATCAGCTTAACCCTTTCGTGGTGGCTCAGGGATGGAGTTACACATCGTAAGACTGCATGTTAGATCTCATTACAGTACCTGGGACAGTCAGTGGTTAACGTTATCGAGAAGAAGTACTGAATACCGCCGTCTTGCCATACTGTGATAACCGTCCTCTTACCAGTCGTCCGCTATTCGTGGGTGACAACGGTCGACAACCTCACCTTGAGGTAAAAAAACGTTTGCTCTTCACGCTCTTCACGTGTTCGATTCCCCACATGGGTACAATGTGTGAAGCCTATTTCTGGTGTCCACGGCTGTGATATTGCTGGAATATTACTAAAAGCGGCGTAAAACAAAACTCACTAACTCCAGCCGTCATTGCCCATTTGCAGAGCAACGGCACTGAAACATTACGATGGCCCGCAAGGAGCTCCGATATTAACACCGTCGATCATCTTTGGGACATTTCAGTTTTGTTCAATGTAAAATATGTTACAGTTACCAATTTAATTCCCGGAATTTGGTTTTCAAAGCATTTACAACAATATGTAATGTTTCCGTACTTAAATAAATTTAAACGTGAGTGGTGTCTGATTAATATTCATGTCTAACTTTGACCATGTTAAGGTACTGTATGTATTTATAGGATATATAGGAATATTTCAGAAAAAATGACAATGATCGTGAACGTGTTTATTATTTGCAAAAGTTCTTGAAATCAAAGATCCGAATCCCATTTCGCTTAAATGTACGTTTATCAGTCAGCAGCAAGGATCTGTTCATGTGCTACAAACGGTGAAGGCACGGAAGTCCATGGGATCAACAGCTGAATTATTATCCTAAACTGACAATGTTTTCTGAACTAGGATTACTGTTTCAAGACATTTAAAACAACTTCCCGAAAGAACAGCCTCACAGTTTTCAGAATATTTGTTTGGAGCAATTCACGTGTCACCCCCGAACAGTACGTTTTCTTCTTTTAGAAGAAATTATGAATTCTTTAAAATACATCTTACCTTCCCTGCTATCTGTGCGGCAGGTAGATAAATGTTACTTCTTGAAACTTGCAAGGTTTCACTATTCCCCTTCTTTGAATTCAGCTGACACTCCCTGGTGGACGATGACCAGTTGACCGAGAGACATCTTGACGAGTACAAACAGAGTCGGCGACACTGCTGTAACGTAGTTCTACGAAATATCTGGAACACAGATCCCGGCAAAACCAGATCCTGTGTTCCATCAAACTGTCCCATAGATAAATAAACGTTTAGAATGAGAGCTGCTAGAAATATGGTACTGGCATCCATTGGGTCCTGTAAACTTCCCTTGAAATAAACTAGTGGAAGCAGGCACTGCAGACCCAGCTGGTCGACTTAAGGAGAAGGCAGTGAGGCGGAAAGGTACTGAATCGATACCTCAACGCGTGTCGCTCGCCGTGCATTTACCACAGCTGTTGGTATATCTGACAAAAGTGTTCGGATCTTTGCTAGTTGTTTAAAGCAGCATTCTATGGAATCGTAGAAGGGACTTTGTCGCGTTGTCGCTCTCTCAAAAACAAGCAAAAGATCAAAATTAACCAAAGCGCCACAATGCAACAAATGGACAAAATGTCGCGTTGTCGAATTGTCGCGCATTGGTTATATATTTTGACACTTTTGCTTGTTTTGTGAGGGCGACAGGGCGTCAATACAACAAAGCGACAATGTCCCTTCTAGGATTCCATAGCATTCAGCAATGCTGCAGGTATCTGACGTCCACTAACAGGGACGACGTCATTAGTAGTAAATGTAGTGGTTGGTACATGTAGGTAGATAGTGTGAGGTACATGTTGGTAGGTAGTGTTTGGTACATGTAGTTAGGTAGTGTGAGGTACATGTAGTCAGGTAGTGTGAGGTACATGTAGTCAGGTAGTGTGAGGTACATGTTGGTAGGTAGTGTTTGGTACATGTAGTCAGGTAGTGTTAGGTACATGTAGTTAGGTAGTGTGAGGTACATGTAGTCAGGTAGTGTGTGGTACATGTAGTCAGGTAGTGTGAGGTACATGTAGTCAGGTAGTGTGAGGTACATGTAGTCAGGTAGTGTGAGGTACATGTTGGTAGGTAGTGTTTGGTACATGTTGGTAGGAAGTGTTTGGTACATGAAGTCAGGTAGTGTTTGGTAAATGTAGGTAGGTAGTGTAGTCAGGTGAGGTACATGTAGTCAGGTAGTGTTTGGTACATGTAGTTAGTGTGAGGTAGATCGTGTTTGGTACATGTAGTCAGGTAGTGTTTGGTACATGTTGGTAGGTAGTGTTTGGTACATGTTGGTAGGTAGTGTGAGGTACATGTAGTCAGGTAGTGTTTGGTACATGTAGGTAGATAGTGTTTGGTACATGTAGTCAGGTAGTGTGTGGGTACATGTAGTCAGGTAGTGTTTGGTACATGTAGTCAGGTAGTGTGAGGTACATGTAGTCAGGTAGTGTTTGGTACATGTTGGTAGGTAGTGTTTGGTACATGTAGTCAGGTAGTGTAGTCAGGTAGTGTTTGGTACATGTAGTGGTAGTGTGAGGTACATGTAGTCAGGTAGTGTGAGGTACATGTAGTCAGGTAGTGTTTGGTACATGTAGTCAGGTAGTGTGAGGTACATGTAGTCAGGTAGTGTGAGGTACATGTAGTCAGGTAGTGTGAGGTACATGTAGTCAGGTAGTGTGAGGTACATGTAGTCAGGTAGTGTGAGGTACATGTAGTCAGGTAGTGTGAGGTACATGTTAGTAGGTAGTGTTTGGTACATGTAGTCAGGTAGTGTGAGGTACATGTAGTCAGGTAGTGTGAGGTACATGTTGGTAGGTAGTGTTTGGTACATGTAGTCAGGTAGTGTGGGTACATGTAGTTAGGTAGTGTGAGGTACATGTAGTCAGGTAGTGTAGTGTAGTGAGGGTATATGTTGGTAGGTAGTGTTTGGTACATGTTGGTAGGTAGTGTTTGGTACATGTAGTGTTTGGTACATGTAGGTAGGTAGTGTGAGGTACATGTTGGTAGGTAGTGTTTGGTACATGTTGGTAGGTAGTGTTTGGTACATGTTGGTAGGTAGTGTTTGGTACATGTTGGTAGGTAGTGTTTGGTACATGTTGTTAGGTAGTGTGAGGTACCTGTAGTTAGGTAGTGTGAGGTACATGTCTGGTAGTACGTTGAAGAGAAACCAACTTGTTTAACACAGCGACGTATTTAAGTTTTCCTTTGTCCATAAAACACGGAGCTGTGTACCCGAGGGGTTGGGGCTTTTAAAGCTTTATTTTCAACGAACTCAGTTAACCGTAGTTGCCCGATCCCTGTTGGGAGATAAACGGCGTTGGCGCTCATGAAAAGCAAATCAACACTGAATATACCAACGGAAAGCTGACTTTGTGAAAGCATCCACGTACACAGACTCCCAAAGTGACACTGTTTAAATACACTAAAAATGAAATGTATGAAAAAACCCGATTAAAGCCACGAATAAAACATATTAAGAAAGTTACTAATGAATCCAAAGGTGCTATTAGCACTTCATCAAGGCTTAAATGTAGATCAGTAACTGTTCTATGCCTGTCGTGTTTGTACTCCAAAGTCCTGCTGGAATTAAACGTGATGATTAATGCAAAGAGCAAAGCAGTTTAGGAAATATGCGTTTCTTTGAAACTGTGTGAAAATGCAGATTGACAGTTCCAAGCCACATCGAATAGGCAGGGCAATGATGTGTCTTATAGATTAATGTTGCTACCTGTGGTGTTATTTTGGACAACTGATCTAAATGTACACATGCGTTTGTAAGCATTCACGGAAACGTATCACTTGGGTGGTTTAACGCCGCTTTTAGCAATATTCCAGCAATATCATGGCGGGGGACACAGGAAATGGGCTTCACACATTGTACCCATGTGGGGAATCGAACCCAGGTCTTCAACGTGAGGAGCGAACGCTAGCGAACGCTACCCCATCGCCCCTTATGCCCTTTAGAAAGGGGTCTGATGTTATATTATTATTTATTATTTATTTACATTATCTCAGGGAACAATCGGATGATAATTAGAGACAGCCGATGTGATCTTGTTGATTGTACCATTTAACCACTGGACAACTACTGCCCCTCATTTCAGCTGTGACTACACTTGACTACATTCCTAAAACTCCTAAAAGTTATAAAATTGTCTCGCTTGGCCTCGTCTATGTCTTGTGGGGTTTTGTCGCTTTATATATATATATATAAAACCCGACTGTTTGTTTGTTTGTTGTCCCATCACCTTGCAGTGATATTGTGACGCGGACATTTTAGTCCATTTGCTATATTTACAAAATATGATTGTAACAGTGAAAAATACACCATGCCTTTTAGAAAGTGGTCAAATGCAACATATTTGGGGTAACATTTTCTCAGTAAAGTACAGGTTTGTACTTCTTTTGGGGTTGAGTCCGATCTCAGAGTAATCAGCACGTTATCGCCAGCCCACAAAGTCAGCAATCTAACCCACTCAGCCATCGAGGCTTCCACTAGATGGAAGTATGACAACTGATAGACTAGATCACATACCTTGTACACCTCTGACATGTGGACATTGGCACGGCTGCTACCACGACCGAACAAATCAGCTGTCTGACACCTCTCTCTCCCAATTCCCTCTCTACCCCTCTCTCTTCCAAATCTCCATCCCCTCTCTCTCCCCTCCCTCTCCTCTCATATCCTCCTCCTCTCTCCCCTCTCTCTCTCTCTCTCTTGCCTCTCTCTTCCTCCCTCTCCCTCTTCCTCTCTCATCCTCCTTCTCTCTCCACTCTCTCCCCTCCTCCTCTCTCTTCCTCATCTCCTCCTCTCCTCTCTCTCTCCTCTCTCCCTCATCTCCTCTCTCTCTCTCTTCCTCCTCTCTCTCTCTCTCTCCCTCCTCCTCCTCTCTCTTCTCTCTCTTCCTCTCTCCCTCTCCTCTCTCTCTCTCCCTCCTCCCCATCTCCCTCCTCTCTCTCTCCTCCCTCTCTCTCTCTCTCTCTCCTCCTCCTCCTCTCTCTCTCTCTCTCCCCTCTCTCTCCTCTCTCTCTTCCATCCTCTCTCCTCCCCTCTCCTCCTCCTCTCTCTCTCCTCCTCTCTCTCCCTCTCTCTCCTCTCTCTCCTCTCCTCTCTCTCTCTCTCTCTCTCTCTCTCCCTCCTCCCTCTCTCTCCCTCTCCTCTCTCTCTCTTCTCTCTCCCTCCTCTCTCCTCTCTCCTTCTCTCTCCTCTTCCTCTCTCTTCCTCCTCCTCCTCTCTCTCCTCTCCTCCCTCTCTCCTCTCTCTCTCTCTCCTCCCTCCTCCTCCCTCTCCCTCCTCTCTCTCTCTCCTTCCTCTCTCTCCCTCCCTCCTCCTCCTCTCCTCCTCTCTCTCTCTCTCTCCTCCCCTCCCTCTCTCTCTTCCACATCTCCCTCCTCTCTCTCTCTCTCTCCTCCTCTCTCTCCTCTTCCTCTCTCCTCTCCCTCTCCTCCTCCTCTCTCTCTCTCTCCCTCTCCTGTCTCCCTCTCCTCCTCTCTCTCCCTCTCTCTCATCTCCTCCTCTCTCCTCTCCTCTCTCTCCTCTCCTCTCTCCTCCTCTCTCTCTCCTCCCTCTCCTCTCCCTCTCTCCTCCTCTCTCCTCTCTCTCTCTCTTCTTCTCTCCCTCCTCTCTCCTCCTCTCTCTTCCTCTGTCTCTCCTCCTCCCTCTCTCTCTCTCTCTCCTCCTCTCTTCTCTCTCTCCTCCTCCTCTCACTCTCCTCCTCATCCATCTCCTCTCTCTCCTCCTCCTCTCTCTCTCTCCTCTCTCCTCTCTCTCCTCTCTCTCTTGTCCTCCTCTCTCCCTCTCTCCACATGTCTCCTCCTCCACTCTCCTCCTCCTCCTCTCTCTCTCCTTTCCTCTCCCTCCTCTCTCTTGCTCTCTCCCCCTCCTCTCTCTCCTCTCCTCTTGCATCTCCTTTTCCTCCTCTCCCTCCTCCTCTCTCTTCCATCTCTCCTCCTCTCTCTCCCTCCTCCCTCTCTCCTCCTCCCTCTCCTCCCTCTCTTGCCTCCTCCTCTCTCTCCACCTCCCTCTCCCCCTTCTCCTCCCTCCTCCTCCTCCTCCTCCCCTTTTATCCTTAGGCTATGTAAGTCATATAAATGGGACTTTAATTATACATGTAGTTATCTCTTTATCTGTAATAGAATCCCAACACCTCAAACTGAGCAAACTGAATTTATTCAATAATTCTGGACACACAGTAATAATGTAGTAGAGCTCACTTATGACGTGACATGACAGTGTTTAATACAACATGTATAACAGCACAGAGCAAACACATTTGTTTCACGAGACACCTGGTGTCATTTCAGATTTTCAGTCATCCATTCATGTCAGTTTAACAGCTATTCCCCTTTACACCCAATGTTTCCCAGGATAGCCACGACTGTGTATCTTCAATGGCGTGTTATATTAGATAAGTGGCAACATTCATACAAAGATTTATAGCTTTCGGAAAATGATAAAGCAGATGCTTAGCTTCTGTGGAAGATAGTTTTATGCAAATGGTTTTATATTTTTTTAACATTAATAAAACATCCTGCAAAAAGCAGAAAACACATGAAATCCATCTCTTAAGCTTCTAAGGTTCCGGTTAAAGAAATGATTTGAGTATATCCAAAGCTTAAGAAATTTGGAATTGTGAACGTCTGTTGGTCAGATTTGTAACGGTA